AAGGGCAGCCCCAGTCCAGATGCAGGCACCCTGCGGGGTTCGCTCAGGGCGGTCCGGCCCTCTCTAAAGGGCGAACCAAGGGAGAAAGCCCTTTTCAGTCCCTAACAGGCCTGGGTTGGGGACACCATTCAGGGCCCCATGTTCTAATTTTGGAGAGAGCGAAGAGGAGTCGTCCCAGTCTCCTTTGACCCACTAGTGAATGCAGCATCCAGCAGACAGTCCGGGGCCTGCTCTGCCCCCTCCCCACCACTGCCAGGGGTCACTGGGTCACCAGCAGAGGTAGAAAAGGTCCTGTGTGTCCCAAGTCCAGTGACTCAACCTCTCTGGGCCCTGATTTCATTCTCTTCAACGGGAGCTGCAGCAGGGGATTCACTGTTTCCGTGTCTTTGTTGTACATGTGTAGAGATACGTTGTATTTATTTAATAGGCAGGCTGTTGTAAATGCTTTGCATACGTCACTCAATTGCTCCTCCCAGTAACTATAGGTTAAGTGTGGTGACCAGCCTCGTTTCACAGACAGCAAAGAAGTGGCATTGACTGTCGTCGGGCTCCAGGCCCTGCTCTTGACCACCGGGGTGAGTAGCTGTGCGAGGCAAATGTCTGGTCCATGTCACCAGTCTGCTGATGGAGACTGTCCATAGCAGGGCAAGACCAGGATCCCTGAGTCCTCCCACATGATCTGGCTCAGGCCCTGGTCCAGTCCAGGCATCACCAGACCTCTCATTTCCCATCTGTGAAATGGCACCCCTTCCAGCTTCAAAATTCTACAAGTTTCTGACTTCTGGGCAGTTTACAGCTTCCTCACACCATTCTCAGCCTGGGGACAAAGGTGCCCGGTGGTCCCCTCCACCCACTGGGACGCTGAAATGTAAGTAAAACCGGGCTTCCTCTTGGCAAGGAAGAGGGCCATGCGTTATAAATAAACGCAAGAAGAAGGCCTCAGCGCAGCGCAGCTCTCCGGAATCCCTGGGGGATATTCCAGGGCTCAAGGTCCAAGGGTTAACAGGAAATCTTCATTGCCAGAGATGAGGGACTTTGGGCCGTCAGCCTGGCCCAGAGGAATGCTATGTCAGCAAAACTGTCCCGAAGGAATGTTGGGGGTGGGGCAGGGGGCTTCTTGGCGCCTGGCATTTTTAATACCTGGACAGAGGAGGGGGGCTGATTAGGAAAAGTTCAAAAGGCAATTCCTGTTGAATTGCATCCTTGCAGAGTTAGAGAGACTGTCAGGTCCCACACAGACCAAGAGGCTGCTGGTTAGACACTGCCAGGCCTGGACATCAGGTCTGCTGATGAGTTAAATGTGGGTTCCCCAGGGCTGCACAGGTGCTGTCCTTACCGCTGCTTCAAATGCGTTTCGGGCTCATCTTTGTGGCCGCGGCCCCAGTGTCACCCTCAGGCCTCCCTTTCTTCTCTAGATCAGGTGCTGTGCCGCACTTCCCCATCCCAGCTCCCCTGCACAGGAGTTTGCCATTGATTTTATTGATTTTTTTCTGTCCACTGCTCCTGTCTGCCCCTTCCCCACCCCCCAGAATCCTGGGTGCTCCTTCCCGAGGGCAGGATCCAGGTCTGTCTTGTGCACCGGAGATCTGGGGCCTGGCTCAGTGCCTGAGTCCCACACACCTGGGTCTCAGTCCTGTTTCTTCCCTTGCCAGCTGTGTGAGCCTTGGGCGGACTTCTTACCACACGACCTCTCGGTTTTCTGCTCTGCACAATGGGAGTTGTTAAATAAATGAGGATTTGAGCACAGGGATGGGGTAAGTGACCGTGCATGGGAGTTGCCCATTCTTTTTTCCAGTGGTTAAGGAGGTTCTCCGGCTACCTGTCTGCACTGCCATGTGCTATGGAGGGCCACTGTGATGAGGTCACACACAGAGTCTGAGGGAAGAGGACCATGGGGTCAGCCAGACCAAAAGAGAGAGGTAGGGCTTGCTTGGCTGACCTGGGATCCTCCAGGAGGTATTCTGAGTATGCACCATACTTACGCAGGGGTGAGTGTGTGCAAGTGTGAATGTGCATGATTCTGCATTTGTTAGAGTGGATACGTGTGTGTACATGTGCGTAGTTATATATGTATGTGCAACCTATGTGCGAGCATGTGAGTATGCATGTGCGTGTGCATTTGTGTGTGCATGAGTTCACCTGTGTGCTTCTGGGTGTGTGCCTGTGTGTGCATGTCAAGTGGGCCAGGAGTAGGAGTGGGGGCATCCAGCTGGGTGTCTGTCTTCCCGTCAGTGACCCAGTGACTCAGGAAAATCCCCTGGAACACATCTTGGGAGCCAGGAAGCAGAGTGAACACAGATCAGAGGAGAAGGCGGGTGATGATGGCCACTCCTCTGGGTGGATGACACGGGGGCAGGGCCGCTGCCACAGCTTGACACACCAGATTGACATCACACCTCTGCCATTTACTAGCTGTGTGGCTTTTGGCTTGCTCCTTTACCTCTCTAAGCCTCAGTTTCCCCATCTCTCAGGTGTGCAGGGAGAGTGAACTGAGCCAATCCCGGTAAAGCACTTTGTGCCGGGATGCAGAATAGCAGTGTTGTAAACACTCGAAGCTTGTGTAAACATTAAACATCCAGCACGCCCGTTCAGTGTAAAGCACATGCCAGGACCTCTGCTTTGCAGGTGCCAACTCAAGGAATCTTTCCCAGAAGCCCATGAGGTAGATTCTGAGGTACCCACAAGTTTAGGGGTGAGGAGACTAGGGTGCAGGAGAGGGAAGTCACAGGCCGAGGGTCACACAGCGTGGTGGAGCTGGGACTGGCTCCCGGGCTACATGCCTCTGAAACCCCCTGCTTTGCTAGCTAGCGAGATTCACTTTGCTTTCAGTCCTAAGATGCCAGGACAGGAACAGCCTAGAGTCTGATCTCCCCTCTGCTCACATGTGCCCCCAGTTTCACACCAAAGGAAACAAGACCTCACATGTGCCTGTCTGGATACAAAACAGGCCAAGTTTGTGCCAGGAGATGAGAAGAAGTGCCAGGGTGCATTGGCATGAACTTCACACGCCAAAGTAGACTTGAAGTCCCTGTTTCTAATGGAAATGGGCAAAAGGCTCAAACAGGACTAAGCTGTCCAAACATCCCTGCCAAGAGCTGCTGACGCCAAAGCCTTACCATCCCCAGCAGAGCCATCTCTTGGCTTCCCTCTAAGCCCTACACCCCACCCTGCAGCTGGAGAGAGGGTGCCAGGCTCCCTCCAGACCACACACTGCACAGCCCAGCTCTCCATCCTTCAGTCGTAGGACTTGAAAAGCATTGGCAGATGCTCACAGACAGACTCTGCATTGGGAGCAGGTAAAAAATGCCCACCTGGATTCTGCAGGAGACAGGAGGCTGTCAGCAGGGAGCACCTGGACGCATCTCAGATTTGCAGCTACCTGTAGGTTCGTCTTAGCCCAGAAACCGCAGGAATCTGCCCTCATCCCACCCACGAGAGCTCATTTCCAGCCTCCAAACTTAACCGCACATTGTTTTGTGTCTCTGTCTCTGTGCCTGCCTGTCCCACTGGGGCAGAACCTGAGCTGGCTTGCCTGGCCCTACCCAGTTTCACAAAGCTGTGGACATGGTTGGGGACCAATCAGTGCTTGAACCAGGGACACTGCTAGACTCTATCCAAAACCTCACTCACTGTGCCTTCCAATTCCAGAATCACTCAGCTGCCCGGCCCAGCTTCTACTGCGCCATCTTTTATTCCTCCTGAGTGCCATCAATCAAGATTAAACTCTGCCATGTGCCCCTGGCTTTTCCCAGCCCTGCAACCCGGCTTCCCTTCTCACTGGAGCCTTTTGCCCTTTTCCCCCTCCTTCTAAACTGCGCCTGCGCCTCTGGCATCCCTCCCAGGACCCACTTACCTTCTTAGGCTGGTCCATCCTCCTCTTTTCAGAGGCGACGTGTGCTGTGCTTGGCCTCTGGCTCACTGGGGACCAGAAAAACAAAATATATCATCTGACTGCCCTATTTTTTCTTTTTTCTTTTTAAATTCTTTTTGCTTAAGAATGAAGCAAGCCCTTCCCTGCTATTCTCAGGAAGAGCTTCAAACATGGCAGGCCACTGGCAAAAATATATCCTCCTTCTCAGAGGGAAAGAATGTAACTGTTAACAACAACAAAAAATCACTGGGATTTGTGGAGCCTTGGGCTTACGAGCCAGTTCACCTCCATGCACTCACGTGACACAGCGGCACGTGGAGGCGTCACATCCATTTTAGAGAGAGGGAAACTGAGGCTCCAAAAGGCAGGGATTTCCCCAAGGGCACCACTCTTGGAGTTAGGATAAGCTGCTGGCTTCGGGGATGATGAAATTTCGTTGCATTTTGTATGCATTTATTGTGCTGATTTGTGAAATACAAATATTAAACACATGCAGCACGTTTGGTAACCCTGTCTTAGGGTCTTGTTGCCTTTTTATTTTATTTATTCATTTTATTTTTGAGACAGAGTCTCACTGTCACCCAGGCTGGAGTGCAGTGGCACAATCCCAGCTCACCACCACCTTCGCCTCCTGGATTCAAGCAGTCTTCCTGCCTCAGCCTCCCGAGTAGCTGGGATTACAGGCACCCAGCTAATTTTTCTATTTTTAGTAGAGACGAGGTTTTACCATGTTGGCCAGGCCGGTCTCAAACTCCTGACCTCAAGTGATCCACCTGCCTCTGCCTCCCAGAGTGCTGGGATTATAGGCGTGAGCCACCGCGCCTGGCCTCGTTGCCTTTTTAAATACAGGAGCTTCTGAACTTGGAAGTGGGTGGAGCATTTTCTATCTCGGGGGTCTGAGACAACTTAGGCGAAAACAATTTGTAAACGGCAAAGTGCCTTTTTAAACAATCACGGTTTGCGTTACACCATTAAGTGTCAGAGCGCCGGCTACAGATTCACAGAGCAGAATCCGAGGCTCTAAAACCTTGCCTTGCTCCCCTAAGCCTGAAAAAGACCCCAGCAGAGAAGAGCCCAGCCTCCCCCTCCGGGAGACACTGTCCCCCACCCCAGCCCTCACCATCTCCAAATCCAAGAATATTGCCATGAACTTCGGGGCCTCATAAAACTCCTTTGATAAATGATCACCAGAGCTGACCTGCATCTGGGATGATGGGACAAACACATAAATCTGGAGTGGACTCAAAGACTCCCTTGCCGCCAGCTTCTCAACAGGCCCCTGATTTGCAGCACGAAATTCACAGCCACCATTTATGTGGTGTGTCACCAAGCTTCCCAGCCACCAAGGTTTCTTGGTGGAGCACAGGTGGGTGGGGTGGGGGCTCAAGCAAAGGGAGACAAGCCAGGGCAACCCAGAACTGCCCTGAGGGCACCCGGCGTGCCGTCGGTGCCCAGTGCTGACCAGCGCACACCCTGCAGTGGCAGTAGCTGACGTTGAACTAGAAGCCGGGCACCGTGTTCAGAGCTGACATTCATGTTATTATCCCATTTGGGTCTCACACCAGCCTAAAAAGTCGGCAAGTAGGCACAATTACACAGTTTTATAGATGAGGACACAGGGGCTTGGAACAGCAAACCCATGTCCCCTGTGTCACAAAGCTGGGAAGTGTTAAAGCTGCACTGAGAGCCAGTCTGGCCAGATGGCCTCACTCTCATCCGCCCTGCCGCGTGCTCAGCTCCCAGACTGTTAGGCCGCCTTCCCAGATCCTTCCTGGTCCCTCAAGGGGTCCTGCCAAGGATGCTAATGGTCAGGCCTTGCTGCAGGCCGTTGAGTCCCGCCTGTGGCTTCGCCAGCGGCCGCCACCTTCAGTACAGGTTTCCCCAGCTCTCTGGCACTAGAATACTCAGTGGGCTGCAGCAGTCCCCCGAGCTGCCTAACGGGAGGCGGTGAAATCAACAGCAGCAGATTATTTCCAGCTGCTGCTCTGAGTCACCGAAGCATGTTCCAAACCCAGCCGCCAGCCCGCCTCCCCTGGCCTCTGATTTATGCAGCGGGTAGGCCGTTGCTGGACTCATGGATAGGGACATGAGGTGGGACTGAGGCGTGCATCTGACGCTACACTGGGGTGTCATTTTTTCAAACCTTTTACGGAAGTGTTGCCTCCGTAGAGAAAAGTGTACATCATCATCCGTGTATACAGCAGGCTGAATTTTCACAAACGGAACATGTCTGTGTAACCACTACCCAGAAATACGGCATGTCCAGACTTCCAGCAGGCCCCCAGGTACCTGCTTCAAGACCCTCCCCTACCCCCAAGGGTAATAACTTAGAGCCGGATTTCCAGGCACCTTGACTTCTTTTTTTTAATTTTTATTTGTTTATTTTTGAGACGGAGTCTCACAAGGTCGCCCAGGCTGGAGTACAGTGGCACAATCTTGGCTCACTGCAACCTCCACGTCCTGTGTTCAAGCAATTCTCGTGCCTCACCCTCCCAAGTAGCTGGGATTATAGGCACCCACCACCACACCCAGCTAATTTTTTATAAATTTTTTAGTAGAGACGGGGTTTCTCTATGTTGGCCAGGCTGGTCTCAAACCCCTGACCTCGTGATCTGCCCGCCTCGGCCTCCCAAAGTGCTGGGATTACAGGTGTAAGCCACCACGTCCAGCCTAGGCATCTTGACTTCTAACACCAAGACCATTTTTTTTTTTAATTAATTAATTTTTTTTTTTTTGTAAGACGAGGTTTCACCATGTTGATCAGGCTGGTCTTGAACTCCTGACCTTGTGATCCACCCGCCTCGGCCTCCCAAAGTGCTGGGATTACAGGCGTGAGCCACCGCTCCCAGCCGACCATTTTATTTTTTAGCAGCTTTATTGAGATATCATTCAAATGCCACACAATCCACTCTTTTAAAGTGTACAGCTCAATGGCTTTTAGTATATTTACGGAGTTTTCAACCACCACCACCACAATCCGTTTTAGAACATTTTTATCACTCCCAAAAGGAACCTCACACCCTTTGGCCCTCAACACCTCCAGCCCCCGCCCCACCCCTACCCCCCCAGTCCCTGGAAACCATTCATCTACTTTCTGTCTCTGTGGATCTGCGTGTTCTGGACAGTTGGTATAAATGGGATTGTACAGCACGTGGTCTTTTGTGACTGGCTTCTTTCGCTGGGCATAATGTTTTCAAGCCTAGCCTGTGTCTGCACAGCCTGCTTTTAACCTTCGCTAAGTGGAGGTAAGTGTATCGCATGTACTCTTCGGGTCTGGCTTTTTGCTCTATGCCGTATCCGTGAAATTCTTCCCTGTTTTTGCCTGAAGCAGTACTTTGTCCTTTTTTCATTACTGTATAGTAGTCTATGGATGAATATTCCATCATTTATTGGTCCATTCCACCACTGGTGAGCTTTGGGGAGTTTGCATTTGAGACTCACGTGACTAGTGTTTTTCTGAACGTTACGTCATGGCTTCTGTTGCAAACACAAGATGCAGGCTGGGTGTGGTGACTCGCATCTGTAATCTCAGCACTTTGGGAGTTTGAGCGGGGAGGATGGCTTGAGCCCCGGAGTTTGAGACCAGCCTGGGCAACACAGTGAGACCTCATTTCTGCAGACAGATTTAAAAATTATCTGGTCATGGTGGCAAATGCCTGTAATCCCAGCTACTGGGGAGACTGAGACAGGAAGATTGCTTGAGCCCAGGGGTTCGAGGCTGCAGTGAACTATGATCATGCCACTTGCTCTTCACCTGGGTGACAGAGCAAGAACCCGTCTCCAAAACAACCCAAAAATCCGAAAATACATAATGCATTTCTGTTGGATAAATACCTGGGAGTCAAATTGCTAACCATGGGGTCGGTGTATATTTGACTTTAATGCATACTGGGGTGTCTTAAATCACATTCACAGGGGCCATGGAATTCCCAAGCCTCCCTGCTTCCCAGACTCAGTCCTTCCCAACTCCTCCCCTCTGCTGCCCACCCACCAGCCCGAGCTCCTGGGCAGCGTCTTACAGGGAACCCCCTGCCCTGCAGAGCTGCCGCAATGAAGTCCGCACAACCTGCGGAGGAAAAGGGCTTGGTGGCCAAGAGTTTGGTTGGGTTTTGCGAGCACACATGGTCTCTCTGCCCTGGCTCTGAAACTGTGTTCCTTTCACAGGCCAGAAATACTTAGGCATGGCTCACTCTAAAAGGGGAAACACATTTTTAAATTCCAATCTGCCTGGGTCTTAGAATGATTTAGAACATTCCAGCTGTCTGAAGGACAGCGCTCACCAGGAACAGTGGCTTACTTTACAGTCCCCAAGATCAATCACTCACCATTTTGGGTCCTGACTCCACCCAGTCCTGGGTTCAATGTGCATTTCTTCTGCGGGATCTGGGTTCAAATACTGCGCAGAGTCCCAGCGTACGAGCAGCAGGCCGACACAATGGCAAGCGCATGCGCCTTTGAGTGAGACGCATCAGTACAGCAATCCCGAGCCCTTCGCCAGCTGAGCTAAATCTGCGCCTATCAACCTGTTTCAGCCGGTCGGTGCCCGAGGAGGTGGGTGCACACGTATTATTTGCCCTTTACAGATGAGGAAACGGAAGCACAGCGGGGCTAAGCTATTTGCCCAAGATCGCATAGCTGCTTTTTTTTTTTTTCGAGACAGGGTTTCACTATGTTGGTCAGGCTGGTCTCGAGCTCCTGACCTCAAGTGATCCACCCTCCTCGGCCTCCCAAAGTGCTCGGATTACAGGCGTGAGCCACCGCGCCGGGCCAAGATCGCATAGCTTCTAACAGACAGAGCTGGGATTTCAGCCCGGGGCTGTCTGGCTCCAGACGCCACACTGAATACTGCACTGCTTTGCTCTGTATTTCAAAATCTAGGTAGAAATTCGGCCCTGCCATTTATTATCAGCATGGCCCCTGGTGAGTGGCTGAACTTGGGAGCCACATTTCCTTACTCCACGTGAGTGTGGTGTGATAACCACGCCCACGACACCCGCTTGTCAAGAGATCCAGTGCCAAAGGGCCTTGAACACAGTAGACACTGCGCGAAGGTCCATCTCCCCACCATCAGCACCCCCACCCCACTCCCTGAAACAGCTCCCACCTTCCATGAGCACCTGCCTGTAGAAGCCTGCATTTTTAGAGAGAGTTGAGACATTGGACGTGCTCCAGCTCACCCCCTGAACTTGAGAGGTGCAGGGTCCAAGGCCCAGGGCAGCCCTGACTTGACCAAGGTCATACACGGTCCAACTGGAACACGGCATTCCTGACTGCCAGCTTATAGCTCCTTTTGCCCCTTTGGAAAAGGGCAATTTGTGGTTATGAGGCCAAGGGGCCCTCACTTGTCGTTCAAGAACTTCTTCCTGACTCCATTTCTTCCTGAGAAGCCTGAGGGTTAGCTCGAGGGAGGTCGAGCTCTGGCCTTAAGGGAGAGCTGAGAAAGTCTGATTCTGGGCTTCCAGGCTTGGCGCCCAGTGGGATGGGGTGGAGGCAGGCGAGGAGGCTGGGAGTCA